GGGGCAGAGTGGTTTGGCGAGGCCCAATTACAATATTGCAGTGGTGTATGCAATGTTTTGTTTGTCTAAGGGCCAAATTATGGACCAACTGGCCGACCAATGGGATTACAGATTGCGTTTCTATCTGTCAAATTGCATCTGACAGTTTATCAGAAGGTGAATAAACCGACCCTAACTTATAACAACCCGGAAATAATTCTTTTGAGGAAACCGCCTACCTACCATCTGCCACGCTAACAGTTAACATTACTGATCGCGATTTTAATTTTTCCGGAATACCTATATTTTCCAAATAAATGTGAGTAGTAAGTAGATAGGTGAGTCAGCAAAATTTCTGATAATGATACAATACCGACATCTCCATTGTATCATTATTTAGAGTAGCCTGAACTGCTCCGTGGAAGAAAAGTTCAGGCTACTCTAAATAATGATACTTACGATGGAAGTGTCGGTATCAAAAGGCTGCCCACAGGGTGGGGTCCTATCCCCCCTAATGTGGGACTTGGTCGTAGACGAACTCCTAGTAGACCTTAGTAACAGAAATATTTATACCCAGGGTTACTCAGATGATGTACTAACCGTAGTGGGGAAAAACCTACAAACTACTTTTGCGAAAATGCAAAGAGCGCTTAAAATCGTTGAAGACTGGGTCAAAGGGGCAACTGAGTAGGTATCAATCCTGAGAAAACAGCTACATATAATCCCCTTCACGAAAAGAAGAAAACTGGACGATCTAGTCCCTCCCACTTTCTTCGGAAAGCAATTACAATACGCCCGAGTCAAATACCTAGGGATTATCCTGGATGCAAAACTAACCTGAAACGCCCATGTTGAATACGCCACCAACAAAGGTAAAATGGCGCTTATGGCCACCAAAAGAGCAGTGGGAAAAACATGGGGATTTCTACCCCACATAGTATATTGGATCTATACAGTAGTGGTAAGACCCAGAATAACCTACGGATCAATAGTCTGGTGGCTAAAAGTCGAACAGAGCAAAGCAATTATGGAGCGATCCAAACTTCATAGACTGACTTGCCTCTGCATAATGGGTACAATGAGAAGCACTCCAACTGCTGCTTGGAAACCATACTAAACCTCCGGCCACTTGATATCATTACAAAGCTGAAGGAAAAATAGGGGCTTACAGATTCAATTGTAGCCAGAACTGTAATCCAAACAAAACAGAAAACTCACTAGTCCAGAATGGAAAGTTAGTATGGTGCACTGATGGATCCAAAACCGACAGTGGAACCGGTGCCGGAGAATATGGCCCAGCCCCAAGATCAAAATGATATTCTTCATTGGGGAAGCACACCACCGTATTCCAAGCTGAAATACATGCATAGAGACATGCCTGCGGGAAAATCTGAAAAAGGGATATGTGCATAACGTTATCACGATCTTCTCAGACTGCCAAGCAGCTATTAAAGCTCTAGCATGCCAACAGATGAACTCTAAATTAGTGTGGAACTGCCTGCAACTCCTTTTAACCCTATAGCCAGCCACAAGGTAACTCTTGCGTGGGCATACGGGCGCTGCTGGCAATGGAAACGCGGAGTCCTTAGCCAGGCAAGGATCAGGCAGTTCATGTGCCCTGAATCCGTATTCGGAATATCATAAAACTCGATATGTGGCTGCTTGGACAAGTAGATCCAAGAGGAACACAAAAACCACTCTGGTATCAAATACCGAGGCAGCACCATAGTAAGACAATGGTAAAATATCCTACAACAAGATAGCCTCTGAGATCCTAAAGCTCACGAGGAACCAGATCAGAATTGTGACGGAACTGTTAACTGGTCACTGTACACTGAGGAAACACCTACACAAGATGGAAATCTACCAAGATGAACCCATCTGTAGATTGTGCCACGAGGACGAAGAATCAGCCTCCCACATCTTATTCGAGTGCCCTGCACTCGCCTACTGAAAAACCCGATACCTCTTGGAGGAGAAATCTCTCCAGGAGGAGGGTCCCCTGAAGTAGCCAATAAAGAAGCTACTGCACCTGGCGAAGGTGTCAAACCTATTTTAGCAAAAACTCACACAGTAAGGTATACAATAAGTTAACTAGCTGCAGTGTCAGGGATCACTAAACCTTGTCTTGCTGCCATTGATCAAATCAATCAATCAATCAGCAAAATTTTCGATGATTTTCGTATTTTCTTGATTACAATTAGGTTTCATGAGATATTATTTTAAGAATCGTCCGAATATGTTTTTTGACTGTAAAATTTACTTGCATTGGACCTCGGATGGGGCCCAAGAGCCTCTGGGCCCGGGGGCCGCAGCCCCCTCTGCCCCCACGGTAGTTACGCTACTGCTTATTTGAAGGCGACGAGAAATGTATTTCTCCGTGGCACTCTCGGAGATCCATAGATAGAAAATCGACGGGTTCTGGAACATGAAATTCGAGTTGGCGTTGGCAGCGTACGATAAGGATCACGGGTCACCGAAGCATTTTTCTTTTATTGTTGAGTTCATAGAAAATTTTCTCCACCTTCTTCTCTCGTTTTCTATATTTCTTCTCGATTTGATCCCTATAAAAGTTCTTCCCAGACTGTTTCTATATCCTTTTTGACCGTTTTTATTTCGCCTTTTCTTATTGTCGAATGTTGTGGAATAATCCGGAGATCCTTTACTCATCCACTCATCCCACTTGTGGAAACCATCCTCGCATCAAAATGGATTAACTTTAATTCAAGACGATAACAAAAAAATCGCGTAATTTCTAGTCATCAGGCAGTGTTGCAAGATTGTGCACAATTTGTAACTTTATTAGGTATAATTTCCGATGATCCGCTATTAATAGTTAATAATACCTTGTCTCTTGTAATGTTTTTTATATGCATTTTCCTTTCGATTTAATTTTCTTTTGAACCCCAGTTTATTTCACTTTATTGGTCTATTATGCAGACTGCAGACAAAAACGAATAATTAGAATTTGGTGTTTCTATTTTGGTGAGTAGAATGACATCTAAATATTTGAGTATTATTAAATAATGATGGTTGAAAATACAGTTATTTTTTTTAAAATTTTTAAAGGGCTAATCGTTGATCCAGCTAGTTCAGGTTAACTATCAAATGATTTTTGACAGTATTGGCAATTAACCTAACAAAAAAACTCATCCCTCGATTTTCTCTCTCCTTGTAAATTATAGTTTTTCTACACAAGGTTTTATTTGAACGAATTTTAAGCGAAACACTTTTTTGGGGAAGTACCAAAATGAAATAGTTAATCCTGGATAACACTTGTGACATATCTAGAGGTTAAAGTCTAAATATAAAAAGTAAAAACAAAACCACATGGCCTAAACAGAACATTCTATAGTTAACATCCACTTAAAATAATAACTTAATTAGAAAAAACGAACAGAAAGTAAAGTCGCGCTATGACACGATAGTAACGCAAATGATAATTTTACTGAATGGTCAAAGGAAAGAAGAAAGAGAGACCGCTCACTACTACATCTTCATTTCTTCCGATGCGAGGCCGGTTTGTAGTATAAATACTGAAATAGTGACCTATTTTTCCTTCAGTTTTACTATGCGCTCGAGGTGTTAAAAGATTTTTTTTCTTTGGTATTGAAGATAAGTACCTCTCCGTAACACAAATGACGAACTTGCTGGTACTTAAGAACTGATATTTTAAGTGATCGTGTCTGTGAGGATTTAGTGCGTTTTTGTTTTGGATATTTTCCTTTTAGTTTTTTTTTTCCTGTAAAAATGAAAGTAAGTAGGCACCTTAATCGGAGATGGGTTAATTGATGATTTATTTCTATGGACCGCTAGAATGATTAACGTTCTCCTCAAAAATGGTCTAGTTCAATTAATTGCTTGGAATACCTTTTCACATTTTCTGAAATTTTATTAATTGAGTTAGCCTGGTTTTAATTGATGTTTATTAACACGCTTTCTGCCAATCATATCTTGGAACATTGATTATCGTGATTCAAATATTATTTTTAGGATGATCCTATCATATAAAAAAAACAGTTGAACGACATTTCTTATTTTCCTAAAATCTCACATTAGATGTGCAGCATTTAGCTCCTGTGATGTTGGTAGATAATCCACATAGCTAGAAATGCACCTGCGGCCTGATATTTGCCAGAAGATGTATTGTGTTGGTCCCACAGGATCATTGTGGAAAGTTGAGGCGATAACTATTGGTCCTTTGGGACAAAATGACAGACGAGGAAAAGTGTTGAGGAAAAAAAAAATCATTTGAGCTATAAACAGCCTAAAAATAAATGAAATATTGGACCAAATATAATGATAAGTGATAACTTATGGAAAATCTTCTTTGGGTGATCTTTTATCAGTAGATAATCCTTGAAAACGAAATTTTGAATAATATCTATTGCAGAAATAATTATTTTCAATTCAGTGCATTCGATACTATACCTTTCACTTATCTACTTCCGACATGGAGCAGGTACCCTACAATAAAACAAAAAAACAAAAAAGGCGATGCCACGCTTTCTCGCATAGAAAAATGTTCATACTATTTTTGGTTCCCAGTGCGGTCAACATAACATTTTATAATTATGGTGCTTACCAAAGAAAATTTGGGTCTTGGACCACAGTATATTATTAATTATGATAGTAGTACGCTAATAATATTTAATGATCAATATCCTGGTCCTGGGTCAAGTTTCTTTTATTATTAGTAGGACATCAGTGAGAGTTAATGCACTTCAACTTGAAAATTTGATTGTGTATTTAACAGATGCAATATGTAAGACAGTAACACTTATACATACATCAAAAAGATAACTTCTATACCTACTTCAAGATTTTCTTACAAATTGTCATTAGGATAATGTGAAAAGCAAATCCGGTTGAACATATTAGTATATCTATTAACTTATTTTCCTTTTTTATAAAATGTTATTTATTTATTGGGTTAATTAAGCGAATAATTTGCATTTGTTAATATCATGTGAATAACAATATAAAGTTCTGCTTTCCAAACAAAATGCATGGTAATTTTAACTAGACATACTATATACATTTATTACCATTTTGCCGAGAACTAATTTCTATTATATACAATATATAGGTAAAATTGCGTTATTCTTGGTTACCAATTGGCAATTGCTAGCAAACTTGAATAAAATTCAAGTAATAAAAATAGGATTATTAACCCAAATACCTACTTCTATTTCAGATAATTCTCATGATCCTTCTCTCCGCCTGTCTCACAGTGCACAGTTCCGAATACCCAAGATTTAAGCGTAAGGGTCTCCAACAAAGTGCTTCTTCAAGAAGTGGTCCTCCTCAACCTCCTCAATATGGCAAGAAATGGGGTAAGCCTCCACAAAAACCTCCACAGTATATGCAAAGCCGACCTTACCATGGTATGCCACCGCCTCTTAGAAGCAAAAGACCATCCAAACCACAAAATTATATGATGCCAGGATCAACAGGTATATGAGGCTTTTGTCATAATTTTTTGAGCGATATTTATCATGTATGTGTTTTTTTAGGTTTCAATATGCATTTGGGCCAACACCAAGCATACCCAATGCATAATATTCCAAAGTTCCAGCCATTTGCTTCAAAAAATCCATCCACGACAATGAAAAATTATTTTAAAAATCCTGTGCAGCAATATTCGAAAATGCCCAATCATCATGCCATATCATCAGGACAATTAATTCAATTCCCTAAGGAAACTAAGGTGGTGCCAAAAATAGTGTGTAAGTATACCCTAAGTTTCCACCTATTTATCATCATCATTCATTAAATATTGAACCTATTTCTCCTTCATTCGTATCCATTTCCGTCTCTTTTGTGCCACCCCTATCAATCCGCTACACCTTTGTTTGGATATTATCCGACCATCTTGTGGACAAATGACAAATCTAATTCTTTCTGTTAATAAGGAGCTCATCTCGCCATTTCTGAGAATGAGTTGCTTGGTCAGTCGTCGGCGAATCCTTGGGTCAGTTCCCTGTTGATTTTTGAGTCCAGGTTATTCCAATCTATGTGACAAAACTACCTCTAAATATCGCCCGTTCCTTTATTTGGTAAAATTCTAATTGCGTCGAGCTAGTTAATAATATGTATGAGGAGTTCGTGAATGTGGGGACTCTATAAACTCATAGACCGTCAAATAGTGACAGATTCAGGTGCCCCATTTTCGCACACAAGCCTCGATGAGGGATAGAAAATACTGTGTAGAATGAAGGGAAATTTACGAGTGGCTCATGGGGATAACATATGCAAAATTTCATCATCCTTCCTTAATAGAAAAATCCACTAAAAATCGAGATTTTGAACGTTGAAAAAGTACGTTACTACTGTTACTAGCTCAAAACACAAAAAATTTCCAGGTTCCGGTCATTCTATTCAAAATCGATCAATGTACTTTTCAACTCTTTTCGAGGCTTCCATGTTATTATCTGACGGTCTATTGGATATATCTGACAGGTCACCTTTCTTATTAGTCGGAGAGCCAGCGCCAAAAAAGTGCTCAGTTTCATGAAAGCTGAAAATTTAATATTATACCTGAGCTTTTTTTTTATCCTGGCTTAATGTCAACATTTCTGTGGTTGGGAAAAATTTAAATAAATTTTATGTTCCCATATATTTCCAAGTGTCTATTCTGGATTCCCAGGTCGTGGTAGAAATGAGGTGATCCTACATGGCGGATCCTTGAATGGGAGGCGAGTCATCGCAGCCTCAGATTTGGTTCCCTGGGAGGAGATATCTTGATCCTGGCGGGGAGGGATGTGTGACTCGCTAATTAGGGGGTTGTAGGAGTTTTGGGCCTTCGTGAACTTGCTTGTGCATAGGTCTTGGATATGGTCGTCTAGATTATGTAGTCGAGAGTCTCTTCTAATCGTAGTATTTCTGACGTACCATGGTACGTTTAGGAGGTGGTTGAGTATACGGTTTTCCAGACTCACCAGGGGTTGGCAGATACTGGGTGTTGCTGTGGCGTACCAGGCAGGCGTTCAATACGTAAGTGACGAGCGATACAACTTGTATGTGTTTATTTTTGAGTTTCCAGTATTCAGTTAGCTGTGGCGGTTTAGAAAAGGGTAAAGTTAGGTTAGCTGGCAGATGGCCTTGTTTCTGGTTTTCCAGGGTAGGGCCGCGTTCTTCCACTTTAGTTTCTTTTTTAGCGGATGTTTTCTTTTCTTAGAGAACCAAATGGCTTGTATCTTCCTGGGGTTACTTGGAGGCGCCATTTGTCCATCCAAGTTTCTAGACTTTTGAGGTGTATTTCAAGGCCTGCTCTCATTGTGGCACAGGTAGCTACTATCGCTGTGTCGCCGGCGTATGAGAGAAGAGATGTTTCCTGTGAAGTTGGTGAGTCTGTCAAAAACAGGTTGAATAATAGCGGGCTGAGAGGTGAGCCCTGGGGGACTCTGGCTAGTAATGGTCTGGTGGTTGATCTCGTTTCGTTTGTTGAGTGGCTATTTATTCTGACGCGGAATTTTTTGGTGGCCAGGAAGGAGGATATAAGCCGAACTTCGTAGTGTGTGGCATGTTGAAACGAAGTATCTCTAATCCTTGGTGCCACATTTTATCAAATGCTTTGGCAATGTCCAGAAAAACCGCCCCGGTTTCCATGTTTCTGTTGGCCCCTTGTTGGATAAGTGAGGTCAGTCTTGTGGCTTGGTGGGTCGTTGAGTGCCCGCTTCTGAACCCAATCTGTTCATTGAGCAATAAGTTTGATGTGATGATGTTGTCCTGGAGGTCCCATTTGATCGCTTTCTCTGCGACTTTCCCAAGAGCAGGGATCAAGCTGATAGGGCGGTAGTTTTTGGTGCAATTGCTTGATTCGCCTCTCCTTTCTATCTAATTGAAATGACGCGAACGTCATTTCAATGGAGAGTGGCCCAGAGTTAACATGGCTTTGGTGATGCAAGTGAGGTGGGAGTTTCTTCAGAGTCATGTTTGTGATACCATCCGATCCAGGTGCTTTTTTTCGTTCCAAGGCGGCAATAATCAGTCTGATTTGGTCGGTAGTGAGGACTGGGGGCTGGTGGGGTTGAGGTTGGTTTAGCAAGAGTCGTATTGTTATGTCAATGTTCTGGTCCTGGTCTTGGTGGAGCGGAGGGTTGGTGGTAAACTGCTCCTGGAGACTGTCGGCGAAGGCTCCTACTTTCTGTGTCGAGTCGTCGATGGTAATGTTATTGAGTTTCAGACTAGGCATGAGGCGGCGGGCGTGGCCCTTTCGCGTTTGGTCGTTTCGGTCTCCGAGTTCGACTATCACCGGCAGATGGTCGGAGGATAGTTGGTGTAGTACTCGTGGTTCTGATATTGGGTGCAAGAAGAAGTCGAGCTGGTTGGGAATACCACGTCCTAGGCGGTCCGGTTCATCTGGTCTCCATACGGTAAAATTTTGTCGGTCGGCACATTTTTGGATAGCGAGTCGTTTGGAGATGGTGCGGGAATCACCCCAGTCAGTGTTTTTGGCGTTATCGTCTCCGCCGAGAAGCACTGATAGGTCGGGATCTTGGAAAAGGGTATCAAAATGGGCATCCGTGAGATCATGGTTTGGGGCTGCGTAGATGGAGCCCATAGAACCGTCCGGCCTCTTGTTTGCAACGCCGCGAAGGTGCCTTCAAGTCCAGTTATTGGGTTGAGACCTCGTGGTGTTTGATGAGTCTCTTGACAGCGATGAGGGAGAAACGGTTTGCAGATTTGACTTGAGTTTCTTGGAGCAGAAGAACATCAATCCGATGTTCCTCCAGGAAATTTTCCAGTCGAACTTCCTTTGTTTGATTGAATCGCAATTCCAGGTTGCGATGCGGAGAAAATGGGGCGCAGTAGGGTGTTCAATCATTCAGTTTTTTGTTCTGGGATTGTAGCATTTGATGCATTAGGGATTTCAATGATGGAGATTGTTGTTGTTGGCGATGCTGTTGCTGGGTACTGGTTGGCTGCAGTTTTGGCTGTTGGCCCCAGACGAGGTTTGATTGGGGAACAGGCTTGTAGGCGGGCTTTCTCTGATGTTTGGGATTTTTCAGGCAACCTTGGTAAAACGCCGGATGCGGTCCGCTGCAGTTTGCATAGGTGGCAGCTTCCTCCCTGGGTTTGGTACAGGTAGCGGTGTGGTGATCGCCGGCGCACTTGGCACAGTTGAGAATGGCTTGGCACTTGGATTGTGAGTGTTTGTACAGCTGGCATCTGTCGCACTGCGTGGATCGCTCTCGTGTTCGTTGCGTTTTAACTCTCAATCTTATGTGGTTGATATAGTTGAAGTGTACCATCTTATGATTGATGATAGGTGTAGATTTTCTTTCTCAAGTTCTTCTTCAATGAAGTCGGTCGTCCAGTCTTCCAGTGGACCCCGGATGACTACCCTTAGCTTCTTTTCCTCTGGCAGAGACAAGGAGTGGAATGGTTCTCCGTTCTTCTCGAGGAAGCCTGCATTAGTCTATAGTCCTCTATTGATATGGGATGTAGCTTGATCCCCATGCTGGTGTTGGTTGCCGGGCCGAACGAGATTTTCTGCGCCTTGAAATGGGCAGTAATTTTGTTGTACTTATTTTTGTTCCTTACCACAATTGGGGAGATCCTTTCCCGTGGAGGAAGAGGAGCCGGTATTGTGACTGGCGCTGGTAGTTTAATTTGGAAACCTTTTCTGGCTTGTCCTTGGGGTGCCGAAGTTGAGACGGTCAGGTTGGGAGCGATCAAGGCATGGGCTGGGTTTCGGACTATGACCGTTTTGATATCGTCCTGAGTCTTGAAAGCACTGGCGGAGATTTTTAACTTACGGTTTCTACTGCTTGACGGATATTGGCTGATATTGGCATGGTCATTTTGCAGTCGGATGACATCTTGTTTCAATGTGTAATTTTCTTGATGAAGGCCTTGGATTTCTTTTTGAAGGCCCTTGGTTTGCTGTAAGATCTTCTGTTGCCACTCACTGGAATGTGGTGGGTCCATGATGAATTTTCACAACTTTCACTTTTCACATTTGAACACAAACTTCACTAATACACTTTGAAAAATATTCATTTGGAAAACTAGCAGAGTGCTTGGTACTAAAAAAAGGGTAACGAATTTCTTTCAGCAACTATCCTGAAAAGGACTATTGCTTCAAAGGTAGCAATCACTCGAATGAAGTAATATAGACTTGTAATAATATAACTATACTCGAGTAAGCAAGTATAGTAGCGGGACAAGCTACGCCCACGCACCTTCGAATGCTAACAATTAATCGCAATGAAAGAGTTTCATGACAGCTGAAAATTTTTCAGTCTATTGTTTACTTAATAAAAAACATGTCGGACGTGGTCAGATAGCATTATGTTGAAGCAACTAGAGTCAGCATGGCTATATTCCGGTCGCATGATAGAGGTAATTGGAACTGTTTCATGATGGTTCAAATTTGGTATGTTATTATTTAATTCAATACTATAATCGAACATAACAGTCAGACTTTAATTTGTTCATTCAGCAATCAATTCAATTTTCGATATTGTATACACACTGGGTCCGCAGCTTTCATGAAACTCTTGCAGTTTTTTGGCGCTGGCTCTCGGACTATATGAAGGATGATAATTATCGTGGCATTATAACAAGCCGTTGGTATTACTGTTACTGCTTATGAGAGACACATGCTAGACGGCTATTTGCACCACTACAACTTAAGGGATATAATCTCAGAATTCTCAGAGGAGCTTTGAATGTGACTCTTATAGAAATAAAAGTGACATTAAAAGCTCCACTTAGATTCAGTATCGGTAATAGCCGTGTAAATAGCCAAGAGAATACCGAGGGCTTTTATGACTAAGCTGCCGGCAAGCTGTTTCATCATTATGCCATTATCTCCAGGTGCTTCTTCGGATTTCAAGTCATTCATCATTCATTACTTTTCTTTCTTCTCTATTGTTATACCTGGAATATCTTCCGAATAGTCATTCTTGATTAAAGCTAATCAATGTTGATCGATAGACATCATAAAAAAAAAGTGTTTTTATTCGGGCTTAATGGCTGTCGTAAATTGAATTTCCTTCCTGACATTTCGCTAGCACGCGTGGCTAACATCTTCAGAGGTGCTCCCATGTCCGATTCTGGTAGCAGACTCAGGAAGTCGGTGCAAGAAGCTTGACCTCACCAAGGAGTATTTCGTGATTCCCTCCATTGAGCACATGTTCCGCTATTGCCGATTTTTCCGTTTGTCTTAGTCTAGTCTGCAGTTTCTTTTGTGCTCGTTGATCCTGGTTCCCATGGATCTTTTTGTTGTTCCTATATGTATACCTTACCACATGAGCATGGTATACGCTAGACTCTAGCGCTTGACAGTGGGTTCCTCTTGTCCTGTATTTTCTTTGTTGGCTTGAAGATTGTTTTTATGTTGCGTTTCTTCAAGACTTTCCCTATCCTGTCTGTCACCCGAGAAATGAAAGGCAGATATGCATTAGCCACCACTGGTTGTTCATCCACGTTTCGTCGTGTGACAGTTTTGGGTCGCCGTTTCGATTTCAGATGTATTATATCTATTTGATAGAAAGGCCGACTTGAGGTGATCCAGTTCTTGCTCGAGATGTTGTGGCTCGCAGATGTTCCGAGCACGTTCTGTTACTGTTATTATAATTCCACGTTTTTGCCTTGGATGGTGGTTTGAGAGTACAAGCAGGTAGCTGTCTGTGTGTGTAGGTTTTCGGTACACTGTGTTAGCTTTCCTCCAGATTTCTTTATGAGCACATCTAAGAAGGCGATTTCTTGGTTTTTCTAATTTTCCATGGTAAATTGTAAATTGTATGCTAGGATGTTGCGCGTTCAGGCAAAGTTTACAGGTGCAGGTGGCCTAGGAACTGGTTAAGCTTTTCTTCCCCATGACTCCAAACCACAAAGGTATCGGAGCCATATTGTTGCTTTGTGGTCATAAGATTCGATAGCTTTCCTCTCGAAATCGTCCATAAAGAAGTTGGCTATGACCGGGTTGAGCGGACTTTCCCTAGCTACACCGACCGTTTGCCCGTAGAAATCGCCGTTCCACAGGAAATAACTACCAGTGAGACATTTCCGGAAAAGCTCAACTATGTCATTGGGGAAGGTGCTTGATATCAAGTCAAGAGATTCTGTCAATGGCATTTTTGTGAATAGAGACACGACATTAAAGTTGACCAGGACATCCTTAGGTTGGAGAATATTTTCCCTAATTTTCTGGACAAAGTGAGTGGAGTCCTTGACGTAAGAGCTAGTTTTTCCTACAAGCGGCTGAAGAAGCGATGCAAGATGTTTTGCTAGGTTGTACGTTGGTGCTCCAGGTGCACTCACTGTGGGTCTTAGCGGGACTTCAGGGTTGTAATTTTGGGTAGGCTTAGAGTTGTGGTGTGCCGCTTCTGTTTCTATGATGCCTTTCTTAACCGTGGCTGTTAGGGTAGATGACCTAATCAGTTTTTTGGTGTTCCGGAGTATGGCTTGGGTGGAATACTTCTTTAGCTTCCGGTAGCTAGATGGATCGACGAGCTCCTGAATTTTCCCGTTGTAGTCTTCAGTTCTTAACAGGACAGTTGTGTTGCCCTTATCCGCAGGTAGGATGATCATATCGTCCCCCTTATCACGTAGGGGCGTATCTAACACAAAAGTCTAAAGTTGCGTTTTCAATAAATTTAGGCATTTCTGAGGTACACTTTTGATCTCACGAAATGGCGTAACGGTATCTGTTATAGTTTCCTTTAGAGGACTTATCTTATTGAGAAAGAAAAAAATATATCACGTAGAGGCGTATATTCAAACTTTATTTTTTTTCAAAAAATCTATAAAAGCCATCATAGGCCCAGTACCTTATATTTATGAGAGCATATACATAAGGTTTTAGTGTAGAAAAATGACCATGATCTGTTTAAAAATGAAAACACCAGATAACATTACAAATAGTGCATTTTACATTTTTATCGTCTCCTGAAAAAAAATACGAATTTCGATACTCCTCTACTTGATAAGAGGGACGATATCTTCCGCTGGATGCAGGTTCTTAATTGCTATTAGTTCCTTCTGAGAGGTTACTGGTTGGTGGTCGAGCCTTTCGTAGAATGTTTGCCGGCTCAATACGGATTTCTTCTGCTTCTACAACAGGTAGATGGCTGCTTCAGTACTGGCTATAATCTCCTCCGTTGGCAGGTATTGCGGAGTGATTGCGAAATTACCGCCTTTAGCCAAGACGGCTGTTTCCTCTTTGGTAAGGACTCGATCCGTGAGATTGATGACCAGTCTGGATTTGTCAGGCGCTGGGGAATTTCTGATTTGTTTCTCACAGAACTTATAGTATTGTCCAATCTGGGGTTTTTCGATCCGATTTAGCTCATTATCCATGCTTGAGTATGAGATGGTATCAATTTTGTTCCAATCCTTTGCCTATACGTTGTTGCTGAGCGTCAGATGTAGGTGAAGTAGTTCTCTATTCACTTCAGTCAGATCCTTCCTTGTTTTGTGTATTCGCTCTCGGAGAAATGCTTTTTCAGTTCTGGAGTAGATGCGATATGCTTGGGGTGTCTTGAAAGAGCGCTCAATCTGCAAGAACGCTGGTACGATGTTAGTGCCTCGGCAGCGACAGCGAAGATATTCCATTGAGCCCGAATGAAAACACTTTATCAATAAACCTGGGCTGCGAAAGCCTCACAAACTTTATCATACAATTTTTTTTTCGAAACCTTGATGGTGTTTCGGCCTTCTTTGTAGTTGCGTTTCCGTCTCTGATTTTTTTTAAAAAACATATCACAAAGATACCTACCTAGGTACCTATATACAGTTATTGTCACCTAATTTTTTCCAGTATCTTGAGGCTTTCATTTTCTTCATCACCCTGGCAACTGCGCCTGTATGTTAGATTTCACATCACTTCATATCTTCTGTGTGATGTTTTGATACTTCCTCTCCGCTTTTATATTATTATCTGCTCCTCTACGAATACTCGTCAATTGCTTCGTGTCAGCACATAGTTTAAGTTTCCACTTTTCTGTTTTCATTCATAGCTTCTGACGCTTCTGTACCTTTAAATAGTGATTTATTATCTTCTCCGTTAATCCACCTGCTCTCTAGTAGCTCTTCTATAACAGCTCACGCGTTTTCCATCCCTTCCTTCAGTGTGTTTAGGTCTTAGGATCTATCTACCGCCGGCCCATAAGTCTTTTGTCAGACACTTACAAACTCTTCGTGCATTTATTTTACTAACTCGATTGATGCCATTAGAGTATTATCAAATGAGGAACAGGGTCAACAGATCTTGGCACGACCTTTATTGTACATAATAAGCACACCGATATAATTTACTGACAGTTTCTACAGCATGAACTATCCGTTATTGTTATTCGTTATGATGAAATCATTATTTTTTACTGTTGTTCCGCAATTTACAATTGTTGTTGATTCTTTGGAATGTATTCATGATGTAGTAGAACTGGAGTAATAGTTCAACCAATGATCTGATCTGAGGTCATCTTCCTTTTTATCAATTTGCTTTTGAAATCGCTCATAAGTAGAATGTGTCCTTTGTGAGTATTAGGAGCATTTGAAACATCGTGTAGAAGCAGTTTCATTACGGATTCCTCACTGGTTGGAGTTGAAGTACATGCTTGAACATCTTAAAACCATTTTCAAGCTATTTCACATAGAACCATTCAATATTTTTCTGTTTAGATAAGAAGCTAGAAAAGCCGTCATTCATGTCGTCACCGAGCATACCAGCTTTAGAGTACGATTACCATGTACAAACCAATAATATACCAATGAGTGCTAATACAATTAAACAAATTGGGGAAAAAGGTAACGAAATTCCCGCCTAGTCACAACATTATTAATCAAATATATTTAGGTCCAATTCACACAATACCAGCCCCAAATCTAACTCCTGCGGATAAGCCTAGCAATCTTGACTTTAGAAAGCCTCAGCAGTACCATCAGCACCAAGAAGTAAGGTACCAACAACCTCAATACGTGAGTAAACTCAAAATAAAAACTTAATCCTGGAAGTTATTACCATTTCTCTTGTAGGAACAACCTCAAATTTCTCATCAATACCAAGTAACAGAGCCAGAAGAACAAGTTCCTCAATTTAATCAATACGATCAATTTGAAAACCAAGACCTCCAAGCCTACCAAAGCGTGAAATCGCTTTACCAACAATCAAATCCTGGAATAACTGTCCAGGAAACTGGCAGTCATGGTATTAATATTGGATATGATCATGGACAAGTGAAACAGGAAACTGGCAGTCATGGTATCAATATTGGATATGATCACGGACAAGTGAAACAAGATCATGAGGATTTGTTGAACAGCAAAAATTATCAGGTAGGTAATTGAATTTTAATTTGATTCATTTGAATGTTGAGGCATGATTTTAGAATACTCAACATCGGAATCTCTACACCCAAGCCATCCAGTCCAGCTATGACCAGCAACAACCCCAAATTTTGACTCAGTTTGCCAAGCCTCAAAGCAAATATGGGCAGCAATATTCGCAAGAAGATGAAATTGATGTAAATATCATAATTATTATTTTTTTAAATTTAGGCTCAATTATAAAATATTGTAGATTTCCGAAGAAAAAAACCCTAACGCAAAACCCGAGTACCATTCATTTAACTATGATGAACAAGCTCATCGGGCCCAAGAAAAATCAGGTAATATTTTACCTTCTTTACCGTGTAGGTATTTTTTTTCAATCACAAGTTTCAGGTCAACAATCCGGTTTAGTAACAGCAACTTACTCTCTAGGATCGACTGATGACGTTATAAAGGGCCAAAATATAAACTCTAGATCCAATTCCATGGATCCTTTAACTCAAGCTCAAATCGTCCAAAACTATTTTGATACAAGGTAAATTGCAACTGAACATTTTATTAAATTAGGCAATTAATTTTCTTCTTGGTGCCTAGGTCTGGCAATGATGTGGAGCCAGATGCAAAACCAAGTGCCTCTGGGGTAATTGAGAAAGAGGTGCCCAGCAAATTGTTTTTCAGTTCTTTACCGAATAAAGAAGCAGCTGACAGGTTAGCTAAGCTTCAAGCAGCTGGAAAAATTAATAGCAATTTAATGCATTTTGATAATAAGAATAGGAATCAACAAAACGAAAAAGGTAGTTATGAGAAGATAAAAATTAGCATTTTTAATATATTTTTTTTTAAGATGGAGAAGCAATTTTCGTATCTGAAGATAACGTTTCAGATGAGAATCAGGAGCAGGATAGTAATAAAGAACAATCCGTGGAATATGAAGACTATTCACAGGAGGATGAATCTTCTGATGAAAAAAGTGGTTTTGGGAAAAAGACAAATTATTAATGAGTATTTGCAAGAAAAGTTAAATAAACGCTCCATTTTCACAGCGTTTTTTTGAAGGCGCAATATTATTAGACATTATTTATAGCCATGACTTATTTATTTTTAATTTATGTACCTACTGTTGTTTCCTTATTTATTATTGTTCCTCTTGCCTATTTATTTATCTCTCTTGTTGACTTTTTTTAGTTTTTTACGTAAATAGAGTATACCAGTATACGAATCAAGCGTTTCATTATTTTATACTAAAGATTTTAACTCCCTCTCAGCATTTTAAGTCAATCTAGTACGAGAGACACGCCTGCAGAAAATATATCGTCATAAGGTGGACGAGCGAAAAAATATGGATATTAGTTGAGGTCCTAATTAAAAGAATACGCGAAGGTTTTTTGGAAATTGTTTATTGGATAAATAATTGCAGTAACAATCTTTTATAGTACAGTAAATAGAGACAAATAAATCGCATTTACTAAAAAAAATACTTAATTAGGCAATTCAAACCACGTGACACTCAAGATGGCGTGGCGGCCACACATGGGCCAAAAAACATAAAAAAAATATCTAGTTTCTGCCCGATTTAATAGTTTAGGTACCTAGTCCACAAATATCTTATTGAATAATCACAATCAAAGTTGCAAGCAAAATTCTAAGCGAAATAATTTAAAATACGCATAAAAACATATTCAAAACTAACTTGCTTGGCTGCCACGCCATATTGAAACTTGAAAAAAAAGGGTTGTCGTAGATTAATTCATATGACACATTCAATTTATTTGACAAATTAAAATGAATGACTTTTGGTTTAAGAACCGACGAACGTTTTTGACGTCATTGATTTGTTTTAGTCAATTTTTATTTGTTAAACAAGGAAGGAAAATGCTGGTGGCAAGTACAAACCCTGGATTTAGACTCATAAATTATGTCTCAAATTAAAGGTCTCGATCTCCTCTTTCCATTCAACTAAGGTTGCCTGATCAAAGCCTGCCGAAAGGATGAAGATGCCTTGTTCAAAGTTTTCCGGTACGCGCGCCGCGCGCCAGGTATTTGCGGAGCGCGAGGTGTTTAGTGGCGGAAAAGTCGTTCACAATACTCCGAAACAAGTTTATAAATGATCAGCCACTTCCACAAGTTGCCACCTTGAAAATAATTTACAAAATAGTAAAAATATACTATATCTGCTCTGCAGCAAATGCATTTTGCAAGGAGTAAATACTTCCAATTTGAAGCAAATACTCTGTTTTATTCATAAGAAAAAGAGCATTTGCTTTTTCCTGGATCTGTTTCATCTATAAATAAAAGTTCAAGCAAAACCTCCGACTTGATAGTCGGAAGCAAATACTCCAGGAAATACTTTTTTTCTTAGGGATAAAACAGAATATTTGCTTCAAATTGGAAGCATTTACTCCTTGCAAAATGCATCTTCTCCAGAGCAGATAATATGTTTACTATTTTGGTAAATTATTTTCAAATATTCTTACTTCCCTTTTTTTGAAGATTGTAGTTTGCATTGGGATTCGTTACAGGTTGTTCCAGCCGCTCTAGTGTCCAAGACTTATAGGTTTCTCCCAAAGGAGGCCGGCTTTCTGGGTGTTAAAGTTGCCCACCATCGAGGTGCCCACCTCTTGGGGTATTAGCAGTACCTCTTCAAGGTATTTCAGTCTTTTGCAGAAGTAAGCAGGGCATTCACAGATTAAGTGTTCTATACTTTTTGTTGCTGACGCAAGATTTGCAGTGGTTGGTGTCTGATTTGCTTATTGTTTTTAGGTGATATTTCACCAGGCAATGCCCAGTGAGCAGACCAACGATCTAATAAATGCTTCTTCTGTTCATATCAAGTTCTTCAGATCTCCATGCTGAGATTATGTTTATTTCTTCGGTGACGTGACTTTTCATAAGTGTACAAAAAGGTTCTGGGTCTTGAAAAGGTGTTAAAGTGCCTTGCTTTGTGAGATAGTTCGCCTTCTCGTTGCCCTACATCCAGTGGCGTAGCCAGGATTTTGTCTTGGGGGGGGGGGGGGGCAAATTTGTAAAAAGTGTTTCTTGCGGCGCCACCGCGATTGCTGCGAGAGGCAAAGCGCCGTAGGCGCGAAATTTTTGGGTGCCACGCCTCTTTTTTAGGTTTCTTTACGCTATTTTTGGGACTGTTTATTTTAATTTTGAAGAATTATTCATAAAATTTAAGGTTCTTGGAGGGAGGGGGGGAAATGCCTCCTTGCCCCCCCCCTGGCTACGCAAGTGCCTACATCGGGGTTACTTTGTACCTCCCAGGCAGTTGTTTAAGGATATTTTTACCCTCACAAACTAGCTGAGAATTGCGCTTAATGGCTCCTATACTTTATTTTTTTCCAAGATAGATTTTGACATTGTCAACTTTGAAACATAAACAATGCCGCTAATGCCACTTATTGGCCGCTATTGTAAACCTGCAGAAACACCTCATTTTGCGACCAATCAGGGTCAAGCGTTATGTTTATTTTTCAAAGTTTTCAATGTCAAAATCTATCTTGGGAAAAAATAAAGTATAGAGCCTTTAGAGTCGCTTGACTGTCAGAAAGTGACAGTATGTAAATGTGCTCTCTTAAAAGGTCTCTTTTAAGATACTCTTTGGCACAGAATTTTATGGCCAGAACCTCAGTGTAGGAATATATGCAACTTGAATTCTGTATTTCATTATTTTTATTCAATGTATCAGGATATATCAAGAATCTACTCATACCTTCTCATCAAAAAAGTTCATGCCTCTTTTATAAGCACCGAACCTCAACCCACTCTCATCATGGACCTGAATTCCTCTTGCTATCAAGTTGTTTTTCATGAGGCCTCGTTTTTTTCCCGGTTGAAGTTAGAGGGTAGATGAAATTTACTAAACTGCCGAAACTTGTGGAAGTGGCTGATCATTTATTGACTATGTATTATGTTGTTTTATAACTTTGTTATCGATAGTTTAAGTATTAGAAGTAACGCAAAGTGACAAGGAGCAACAATGAAAACTCGTTTCGGAGTATTGTAGACGACTTTTCCGCCACTATACACCACGCGCTCCGCAAATACCTGGCGCGCGTACCGAGAAGCTTTGAACGAGGCAACTTTATCTTTTCGGCAGGTTTTGAGTTCTATGGAAAGGGGAGATCGAGACCTTTAATTTGAGACCTAATTTATGCGTCCACCTGATGACGATACACTGAGCAAAAAATTTCATCGCCACAGTGAGTTTTTCCGCTATTCTAGCTGGAAAATCTATTAAAATAGGCGTTAAGAAAGAATTATGCTATTGCAGTAAAGTTCACTTTGCTGCATTCTCTTTATTATAGTAGTAAAGTATTTTTATAAAGTGTCTTTTCTAAACCTGGAAAGCTTCTTTTGTAAAATAGCAGAATCACTTTACAGAAATGGGCCGGAAAATTACCCCCATTACCCCCCCCCCACCCCCGACGCGACGCCCCTGACTTAAGCCGGCTACAGACGGTCCGGCAGGCCTGTCAGTTTCAACTGAACAGTTCGGCTGAAGGCCGGTTGCCGGATGGACTGATGACCCTACAAATGTTCAGGTATGTATCTGATTCTTCAGTATCAATCATCACTGCCTCTACTGACGACGACGCGTTATAAGCACTTTTTGGTTTAGTACTAGTATACATATTTGTGAGAACAGTAGAGTCCGTACAAGAAAGATCGATTTCCTTCCATTTTTCTACCAGTTTCTTGCCATGGTCATGGAAGTTTTTCGATTTGGCTTGCCGCAGGCACGACTCGCCATGATAAATAGGGATAAATTCCGCCCAACACCTGTTTTCTATTCCGCGTGACATGGCGTAAGCTCACTATTCACTACTGAAACTATGTGAAATGATAGCCCAACGGCCCGACAGGCGGACAGTGCCATACACACGTTCAGACTTGCCTTTGGGTACGTGAGGCCGGCCGGATGAACGAACATATTTTTGATTTTTCTCTGGCCACCTGAACAGTCTTAACTGACAGATCGTCCGGAATATATACACGCTCAGGCGACCGGCCTTCAGTCGGACTGTTCAGTTCGAACTGACAGGCCTGCCGGACTGTGTGTAGCCGGCTTTAGTTATAAATTATGGTAAATAATTTTATATTTAATAATTTTTAAACTTTTCAATATTTTTCATAAGTTAAAGTAGTCTATAGTACATTAATTACCGATTACAATAAAATGTATCTTTGCTGTTAATATTTTTTCGATCATGTATTGTTTTTGCAAATTTTTGCCATTTTTTTTGTCGGACACTATAGTATTTTACATTATTAGCCAGGTAAAAAAGTTTTTACTGGCGATTGAAGGAAATGACTAGCGAGCCGCCAGGCGAGCTTGTCACCTTCAAGAGCCAGTAAAAACTGCTACCTGGCGTATAATGTACAATAATTTATTTGTTACTCATTTGTAAAAGATATAGGGACAAATAAAAAATCAATACATAACAAAAATTTGAAATTTATATGTTTTTCCTTGATTTTTTCTTACAGAAGTTTTGGTAGTTGGTATAACTATGAGAATGATACGTTGTTAAGACGTTGTTTCTAGTTATAAATAGGTTTTTTGACAGATTTCCATTTTGCAATTTTTTTCCAGAAATGAATTTATTACAAGATATTATTAATGAAGCCTCAGTCGTAGCCAACAGTTTATCACCAGAAAAGTCTCCCAGAAGGTACCTACAAGCAATTATTCTTGTGATAAAACCGATTTTTCAAAAATAAATAATTCTACTGACTTGTAAAAAGTTTTTACAGTTTAGCTGTCAATTTTACAAGTCAGTAGAGTCAGTAGCTTGTAAAAATCAATTTTCGCTGGTTATGTTTTGACTTGATAAGTGACGTTTTACAAATGAGTGACAAATAAATTTATTTACAAGATAGAGTTAATTTAGGATCGGAAAAAATTTTAATGAGACTTACGTATCAGGAAACATAACCTCGTCAGATAGACATTTTGGGGATATCGGACTCCCCCAATTTGCCATTATTTTTGATTTCCATGATTTACGGCCAATTTCATAATAGAGAATTAAAAGTTACTCTAGCTAAATAGATTTTAGGATAGGATTTTTCAATTTTAAATGGAGCTTTAAATTTGAAGTTTACTTTACGTTGATTATGAAATTGGCCGTTAGACATAAAAATCAAACATATTATTCGTAATAGTTATTTATATTACTAGTACGGTATGAGCTTCATTACAGTAACGAGTGGGGA